GAGGCTCGCCGCAAGGAAGCCCGGGATCTGCTACAGCGGCATGAAGCCACAAGCATCGACAGACTCAAGTTCTGGCTTTTTGAACCGAACGGCGACGAGGCAACACCGAAAGAGCAGCATAAGGAGTTCCTCTCCAAACTCGTGACACGGTTGCTGTATGCTTGCAACTACCAACGGTCAGAGTTGGAGAGACAGTACCAGGACCTGACGCAATAGCATCAGGAGTTGGCGACGCTCCGCCGCACAGTGCAGAGCCACGAGGATGCAACTCGGGCACTCAATGCCCGATTGCTGGACCTGGAACAGGCTGTACCAGGACCAACTGCTGGGGCTTCCAGCAGTGCACCCTCTAGCCGCCAAATGTAGGAACGCGTTGACCACATCCTGGCAATGCTCGGCGACATTAACACCTTCGCTGCGCTGTCCACCATCAACACTCAGCTGCATACCTTGAAGACCGAGGTCCAACAACTGCAATCGACGAATGCAGATGGCAATCAGAAGATGCCAACTTTCCAAATGGAAAAGTTCGACGACTACATGCAGCAGGATCCGACCATCTGGTGGGAGGCATTCACGACGCAACTCAGGATTCTGCCTGTCGCTAGGCACAAGTACATCGGCGCCCTGTTCCTGAACTCAAAGGGCGGATGCCAGACCTGGTTGACCCACCTGGCAACCTCCCACGCCGTCGACGTACCAGACCTCAAGGACAAGATCACATGGGAAGAACTGACACGGCTGTGGAAGAAGCGGTTCATCGTCGACGACGCGCCGACACTCGCCATCAACCGTTTGTTCACCATGTCACAGGGCAACACTGCAACACGGGATTGGCTCACAGAGTGGTAGAAGATTGCGACAGTGCCCAATCTGGACCTGCCTTTCACTCATCTCAGGTGTGAGTTCTACAACAGGTCCTGTGCTGCATTGAGCCAGGCTCTTGGTGATCGCGAGCAGTACGCCACCTTCGCCAAGATTATCGACAAGGCACGAGAGATCATCAAGACCAACAGGTCAGCTGCACACGAGAAATCAACATCATGGCAGCCGACCTATGTGGAGAAGGTACGAATTGGTCCGCGACAGCCGCACTTCGCTGCAGTCCAGCAGGACAGTGGGGATAACCCAGCAGCCACTCCAGCATCAAGTGACAGAGATTAGGTGGCTGCTGTCCAGCCGCGAAGCACCAACAAGTCCCGCAACAATGGGAAGGCGAAATCCGCATCGCAGGCCGGAAATGGACAGCCAGGACAGTTTCCATGGGTCAAGTTTGGCTTGACCGAGGCGGAGTACAAAGTCCGCGGCAACTACGGCAGCTGCTATTGGTGCAACAACACCAAGCACAAGACCTCCCTGAGCTAGGATCAGGGCAAGGAGGATGTGCGACCCCGCCTCAACTCGGGAAACTGAGCTTCGCGGAAGGTGAGGCGACTCCACCTTCCACTCCGCTTGATTCAACCGCCTTGCTAGCGGCCTCCTGCACATCTGGGGAGGATGCGAATGTCGCAAGTCCTCGGTATACTTACGAGGATTATGCTGTCCACTTGGTTCCACCGCTGGACCAACCGCTCCACGTGCAACAGTCCA